GACACAGGCTGATAGTCGATTATCCAAGCTTGATAATCGATTATCAAAAGATTCCTTGTCCAAAAATTTAAAATTCTATCCGTTGGAGGACAACGGTAACCCAGATAATCGATTGTCAACAAGTGATAATCGATTATTGGTCCTCTCAGAAGATTCTGGGTTTTGGCTGCAAAGACTGATAATCGATTATTGCATAAGTGATAATCGATTATTGCGTGCTTCAGAACTTTGGAAGTTCAAAGCTGCAGGGGCTGATAGTCGATTGTCACTAAGGTGATAATCGATTATCACCCAGCTAAAGTCTAGCCAGCTGAAACCCGTTTTGAAAAACCGAGGTCCAAAAACGAAGTGTTCCCAAAAGTAAAAACCAGGTTTGAAAAACATTGTATATGGTATAAAATAGTGAAAACAAGACTTGTTCGGTAAAAACCAAGTCTCCAAGGTCGTACATCACGTGCGTACGGTTTTGACCATTTTTCACGTGTTAGACCGATTGACCAAGATACAAAAGTGGTTTTTATAAAATAATTATTTGGGAACATTTTAAAAATGCTCAGAGGTAAAAACAGGGTTTAAAATGTTGAAAACCACGGAGTTGGTTCGGGCGCCAAAAACCGAACGCCGAACGCCGACCTAGGTGGTTTAGGTTCCGAGCAAGGACCAGGGATTTTAAAAAATCGTCAAAAATATTTATTTTGATGGTCAAAAATATTTTATGATTTGTAAAAAAATTTTTGTCTCTTTGAGAACCGAGACTTGAATTTATTGTCGGTTTTGATCACAAAAGACCGACTCGACTAAGTCTTCAATTCTTGATCTTGTCCTTGAGTCTTTTTGGTCTTGTTCCAAGTCATTCTTCACGCCTTGAGTTATTCAACGAAACTCTTCATATCCATGGTGGTTTGGCAATTATCAAAACCTGTCAGAAATGAACACGACTTTAGTTTATCGTACAAAGTGTGTTCCAACAGGATTTGTATTATTTTCTTGTTGGTTTCTTGAAGTGTTAATCTATATCTGAGTTTTTACTGCATTGATCCTTAACCTCTTTGAGTCGATCCAATACATCATGTTCAATGATTCAGGGAGACATCAAATAAAAAAAACAAAAAACAAATATATATGTGTGTGTATGTATGGATGTATCATTCATTATTCAATAATACCAAATATTATCAAATTGTACCATGGTATTGTAGCAAAGGTTTTCTAAAACCTAACTTTTTTCGACAGAGCCTCTGTCGTCGGTCTACCTCCCATCAGTGACGATCAACCACCGTATCAATGGCATCTCCGTCCAACTCCCTTCCTGCTCTACCTTTTGAAATAAAACTTTTACTTTGCAGTCTTCACAATTTAATCTTAGAAAAGCTCATAGATATAAAGTATGTGGTGTGGTCTCTTAGCGTTAGAACAACCCTTGCTGCTAATGTTCTTCTTGGATGGATCGATGGCTATAAAGAAGCATCGCCAAAAATGATCTGCAAAAATGGAAAGATAAACCCTAACCCTGAGTACACCTCATGGTCCATTGTCGATACTCAAGTTTGTATGTGTGTCCTTGTTGTCATCAACCTGACTATTCACAAATACGCTATGGGCTTCAACACATCTGCTGCTCTCTAAGATGCTCTAGAATTAGAACACAGCTCCATGTCTACCACTCATATCTATCCGCTTCGTGATAAGCTTCACACCCTTCGTGAATATACAAAATGATAACTCAATATCTTGATGATGACGTTGCATCCATCCTAGTAGATCTTGATGCCTTGAATGAAGAGATCCCTGAATATGATGTGGTGAATGATGTTATTCATGGTCTCCCCGCTGAATACTCCTTCTTTAAACATAATATTCGCAAGAACAATGAAAATATTGCACTAAATCAACTCTATGGATGGCTCATCCCTAAAAGAATTAACCTTGAGATGGAACAGAAATTGAGCCTAGCTGATTCTGTTTCTAAGAGCACTCACAGGGCCCTATTCTCTTCTGATGGTCAAGGCCATGATCGAGGAGGCTGCAGTCGACCGTACCCAGGCCATAGGAGTGTCCCTAGCCGAGGCACTCAAAGAAACAGTCGAGGAGAAGAGCACGGTCCTCTGCACGATCTTCCGATTTGTCAGATATTTCACGATTCTTATACCAAGAATACCTCTTCCATCACGTCTCGCATTATGGATGCCACCAAAAACAATCATTATGGTGATTGGTACCTTGATATAGGTGCCAAGACTCATGTCACGCATAGTCTATCACAGTTGCAATCTCCCACTTCATATCATGGGACTGAAACTATCAATGTAGTTAATGGTCATACCCTACCCATAACATGCTGGCTCTGGCTATCTCAGCTCCACACTTCTCGTGGTAAATATCCCCTTTCCTCCCTTCATCATGTTCCCTCCCTTACCTATAATTTATTGTTTGTCTATCGTTTTACCAAAGATAATAATTGTACCCTTGTTTTTAATGCTAATAATTTCCATATAGTGGACAACGCCATGAACAAGGTACGATACACGGGCCTTTATAAATATGGACTATACACGCTCCTTCTATGCCAAAACTTGTTGTGTGTCAAGTTGTTACCAGGCCATGTCTATCAGGCATTGCAGACTCGCACATTCAGCTCCTGTTATTGCCAAGTCTATCTTATCGTCCTTAGGTTCTAAATTTTTTGATCCATTATATTGTTAGTCAAGTTATGTATCTAAGTCTTTTCGTTTACTTTTTCAATTATCTGAACCCAAAGCAAATATACCTATTCAATTAGTACATTCTAATATTTGGGGACCAACATCTATCCCATTTGTTAGCGGTTTTTGTTTTTAAATCTTCTTTATTTATGATTTCAGCAAATTTACATGGATGTACCAACTTAGACACAAGTTTGAGGCTTACTCAGTCGTTGTCAACTTTGAAAAAAATGATGAAAATAGAGAGGTCAACTCTAAAATTTAGATTTTTCAAAGCAATAATGGAAAACAGTTTGTTAAGACTTCTTTTAGATTATTTGTTCAAACTTAGGGATTCTCCATCATACATCTTGCCCTTATACTCCTAAGTAGAATAGAGTCGCGGAGTATAAATATCGTCATCTCATTGAGACTATTATTGCCTTGCTCAACGACTCTGGTCTGCCCACGTAATTCAGGGTTGATGCCCTTCCCACCGCTAATTATCTCATCAATCACCTACCAACTCCAAACATGGATAACAAATATCCTTTTGAAGCATTGTACGTTCATCATCCTAATTATGTACACCTTAAATTTGCCCCTTTCGATGTCTCGTGTATCCATGGCTTCGGCTTCACACCCACCACAAACTTCAAACCAGGTCTAGCCCTTGTTTTTTCCTTGGTTATCACCCTACAATGAAAGGTTGCAGATTCTACGACCCTATTTCCTAGAAAACCTATGTCTCTCTTCATGATTGATTTTTCAAATATCAATTTCCGTATTCCACTCTTCTGTATAATTCCCCATCTTCCAATTCTCATGTTATTTTTCCCATCTTTCCTTATAGTCCAGGTTCAAAGGCTTAGTACCGCCCCCTCAAAACTTGTTCTTCTTACACTGCACCACAAATGGTCAAGCCAATCTCCCGTCAATCCTTGGATGGGCGACCGCTAGTAACCCCTCCCTCTAAACCTCTCCAGGCGGTTGATAACCTGGACCGTTCACCTAGTCATGGTCTACCGTCACCTTAGCACTCCACAAAACCACTACAGGCAGTCGTTCACTTGGACCGTGCACCCAATAACGGTTGATCATCTGTTACCCAGCCTTCTAAACTTCCATAGGTGGTCCAAAACATGGACCATCCTCATCACACGGTCGACCGCCAGTGCCTAATACCTCCACTCATAAACACTCACTCTATGCGAACCCGAGCCAAGTCTTGTACCTTCAAACACAAAGCATTCATTTCCAGCACGGCAGCACTCTTAACTTCACCACTCCCACCACTGAATCCACTACATATAACCAAGCCTCTGGTAATAGTTTTTGGTGCCAGGCTATCAATAAGGAGTTCATAACTCTGAATGAATAGCGCACATGGGATTTGGTTGCTCTTCCTAAGGATTGATTTTCAATTTCCAATTGGCTGTAAGTGGTTGAATTATATAAAACGGAATCCTGATTGTTCGATTTCTGGGTATAAGGCTCGTCTAGTGGCCAAAGGGTATCATCAGAAATATAACATTTATTATAAGGAGACATTCAACCCAGTTTCTAAGCAACAAACCATTTGTCTAGTTCATTCTCTAGCACTTCATTAGGATTGGCCTCTACACCAGTTGGACCTCAGCAATGTTTTTCTTCCTGGTTCACCAGGAAAAGATATTTAATGCAACAACCACCAGGATGTGTGAATCCCAATCGCCCACACTGTGTGTGCAAGTTGCAAAAATCACTTATTGGACTTAAACAAGCTCTTCATGCTTAGTACACTTACTTTGTTTTCTTTTTGCAGGTGCTTGGTTTTCACTATTGTAGACATGAAATCATTTTATTTACTCTGCACTATTCTCTAGGCACTGTGATTGTTTTGGTGTATATTGATGATATTATCATTACAGAAAGTTCCTCTTCTCTCATCTCCAAGGTTACTCAGATCAGGCTATGCACTGTTATTTTTTAATGAAGGATTTGGGTCCACTAAATATTTTCCTTGGCATTGAGGTACAGTGCACAACGGATACTATTTACTTCATCAGATGAAGTATACTCGTGAGTTCCTTAATAAGGTGGTATGACTAATTGCAAACCAGCCATCACACCCATGGCTGCATGGTTGACAACCGATTTAAAAGGTAAAACCAACTGATTCAAAAAGTAATTTGTGTAGTAGTGTATATTCTATTTTGCACAACTTTGTTGATTAATAGGGTGTTATACCCTCTTTCTCGTCACTCTTGAGAATTGCAACAACTCTAAAACTCGAAATAAAATCCATAACTCCGAGAGTTTTACATTGTAAAACTTCTAACAAAAATTAGTTTCTAGTTTCCAAAAGATTAGCCAACAATTTGGAACTAACATACTTCCCTCTATTTGAAATAAATTTTATACTTCTTTTTAATTATTCTTAAATAAATTTTAGGGTTAATTACGTTTTTAGTCCTTTTAAGATAGACCACTTTTATTTTTGGTATCTTTAATATTTTACTCCGTATTATTTATGTCATCCTTACAAAATCTCTTATTTCAAAAATGATCCTTAAATATTGTTAAGAGTATCCCACATCAGAAAAGTGTGAGGAAAATAATCGGTATATAAGTTCTTGAGTTGAACTAACTAATAGATTGAATTCAATATTTTAATGTGTTTCCGCCCAAGTGTCATATAGCCAAGTCCAGTGGTCTCTACCCCATCTTAAATTCTATATCAGAGCAGGTTTTGGCCCACCTTGTTTGTCAAGGTGCCCGTCTAGACGTTCATTTCTAGCGGCCCGTTAGTCTTTAGCCCAGTTGTCCATATGGAGTATGTACCCAACGGCCTGTGGCCCGTTTAACACGATTGATCGACTGAAAGTCCATACCCAACGGCTCGTGGTCCTTTAAGGTGTTGGTGTTCACAAAAAAAATCAAGGAGATGGGAGTCCATTTGCAAGTGGTCAACCGATTAGATTCGAAATGGCCTGGTCGTCCACTTAAGGGGGAGTGTTAAGAGTATCCTACATCGAAAAAGTGTGAGGAAAATAATTGGTATATAAGTTCTTGAGTTGAACTAACTAATATATTGTATTCAATCTTTTAATGTGGTTCAGCTCAAGTGTCTTATAGCCAAGTCCAGTGGTCTCTACCCCATCTTAAATTCTATCAAATATAATTAGTAATTCTAATTAATTGAAAGTGTACATTTATTTCTTACTCAACATCTTAGTATTGTATATCTAATTATCTCATACACAATTCACATGCCGTAATTGGGTTCTACATCAAATTATATCTCTAATTCCCAAATTTCATTATATTATGTTCCCATTAAAACTCTGGAATTGGAGATGTAATATGAGTAAAGATAATATTTGGGGCATGAGAATTGTGTCGGAGGTAATTAGAAATTAAAAAAGTAATACTATGATATAGAGTATGAACTAAATGTAGTATCTCAACTAATTACAAGTTGTAATTACGTTTAATGATGATTTTCAAAATAAAATCTTTTGTATACAGGAACAAAAAATAAAAAACATCTATTTTACATTGACTAAACACATTTTTACCCTAAATTTTTCATTTTATTCAGTTATTCCAAAACGAAATTTTACACTTCACTCATTTCCTTTAATTAAATAAAGACATATTGGTCATAATATTTCTCTCTTTTAAACAAATTTCAATTAAATATTTTTCATCTTTCAAAATTTGTTTTTAAATCTCGTGAGATTAAAGTATGTAGTTTAATTCGAGACGAATGTAAAAGCTAAGTGATTAGATAAAAGAAATTTTTTTTGCAGGTGATAAAAGTGCATTTTAATAAAAAAGAAATACTCCGTAACAGTTTTGGTCAAAAAAGAAAAAAGAATACTCCGTATAATTTTGGGAATCTATATAACATTATAACCTTATATATACTCCCTATTACATTATTCCTCCAACAAATTACGTTATTCCTTTTCCTTAAAAGAATTGCATTATTATATCCTCACATATTACATTATTAATTAATCACTCCGACGATCGATCTCGCAGCTAGCTCTTGCTTAAATGGAATTAATATACCGTGCCGGCCTTCGGATCGTTCTTACTATTCTTATCGCAATATGTAACATGATTGCATTTTGTTTTGCGATTGGTGCTGGAGTACTTCAAAAAAACAAGGTAGTGTATCTACATATACTCGCAAATTATATGGTATATCCAGTTGTATCTTTCTTTAGGTACATCCTGGTATTTTTGTAAATTTTGCAAACTTTTTATCTAATGTCAAGAACATATATGAGAATTATTATATATGACAATGAGTACCAGCAGATTTGAGAAAGAGTACCAGTACTTATGAAAATTATCACATTTTTATTCAATACAAACATGAATAAACCTGAATTTTAAATTTTCCATACTCAGAAAGTATAAATGAGTAGGAACGAATCGAATAGAGGAAGAAGTTGATAATGGTACTGAAATTTTTAATTGTGAAAAAATTGAACAATACTCCCTCCGTCCTAAAACTTTCTTCCCAGAGAACTATTCCAACTTCACGGGAATTTATATTTATTTTTGTTTTTTCATGACCTATATGATAAAATAAAATATTCTTGTCACCACTTGTTTTGTTGAACTTTTGATGTAGTTTTTAAATATGTATGTTTTATTTTTTAGGCTAAAATCCATCATTGGTCCTTCAACTTTATCAGTTGTGCACGATTGGTCCTTCAAGTTTCAAAAGTCCATAAATAGTCCTTCAACTTTATGAGTTCTGCACCATTGTTCCTTCAAGTTTCAAAAGTCCATAAGTAGTCCTTCAGGTACACGTCAGCCCTCTATATGAAGTCCTTTTGATAGTAAATATTAAAAGTTAAACGAAATACTAGTTTCATATAATACGAGTAAATTCCACTAGCTACGACTACTCCGTATTATATGGAGCTAGTATATCATTTAGCTTTTAACATTTACCGTCAAAAGGACCTCATCTGGAGGGCTGACGTGTACTTAAAGGACTATTTATGCACTTTTAAAACTTGAAGGACCAATCGTGCACTTTTATTTCTATGCCAATATTTAAATAAAATAGATTGAAAAAACTTGGGATTTTTCTTCGTTTTACGCAACGGGAAGAAAGTTTTAGGACGGAGGGAGTACTTTATTTCAGAATGAACATTTCCTTATTTGAGAATGAGTATTGTTTTTTTAAAGAATGAACACTACGCTATTTATTATAATTATATTAGATAAATGTGTAAAAATGAGTACTTCTTTATTTTAAAATGAGTACTATCTTTTCCAGGATGAGTCCTACGTATTTCGAAATGAATGTTTATATTTGTACGAGAATGAGTACTACTTTATTTAAGATTGAGTACTACCGGGATATACCTATTTCTAGGTACATCCTGATGTACGATATACCAACTCACATATACTCCCTAAATATTAGTATTACTCCTTCCCCCATCTTTCTTTTCCTCTTCCAATAACTTTTTTTTGGACTGTTCATTTTTTTTCCAAATTTCTTATATGTACAAATTTCTTTTTTCTTCTTGTTCATACTCCCTCTGTCCCTACAAGATTGTCAGAGTTTCACTTTTTTGGTAAAACTCCGGCACCATTTGACCGCAAATTATGAAAAAAGTATATTCAAGACATAGTCAAATGGTGCCACAGTTTGACCAAAAAATTAAACCGTGGCAATCTTTTAGGGAGCGAAAAAGTACTACATCCATTTCTTATTCCCTTGATGGTATATGATGATGATGATGTAATGATATAATAGGTGAATGGGTCGTCGTCCGATGAATGTCACGCATCGGGCTTGTTTATTGCGCTATGGGTGGCATCGTTCTTGATTCTTGTGTTTGCTATGCTAGCTTCTGGTACTATGGCATGGTCTTTGCATAATGACGCAATTCAATTAAAGGGGAAATTGGTGATAATATGTGTCTATGTTTCCATCGTGTATGTTTTCTCTTCTCTTCTTTTCTTTATTTTTGGGAGTTTCTTCATGTTTTAATACTTTAATAGAAATAAAACAAAGAAAAAAAATTGTAAAATGTCTTTAAAAGACATATACAATTCCAACCATTTCATTACCATATATATATATATATATTGTATACATCAACAAAAAGAAAAAGAAGAATAAATGAAGTGGGTGGGGAGGGTATTTGAGTCTTTTTAACTTATAAAACTTACTAAAAAAAAGAAATGGGAAGATAATTTGTGGACGTATGAAAAAGAAAAGTGGGAAGATATATAATTTGTGGACGGATGGAGTATATATATATATATATATATATATATATATATATATATATATATATATATATATATATATATATATATATATATATATATATATATATATATATATATATATATATATATATATATATATATGTGTGTGTGTTGGGTAATTAAATTGGGCATGCATGCGTATGGTGCAGGATGGTGTTCATTGCAGAGGTGTACTTGCTTATAGCAGGAATAGGCGTAAAGACGAGGAACAGCTTCAGCAGTTCTGCATGTGTGATCTCTCATCCTAATTTCATATTCATGGGAGGTGGTGGAGGCAGCGTCCTTAACATTATCCTTATCTATCTCTACTTTGTTTACATCAATTCATCAATGGTGGATCTGGATGGTAATGCATCTAATAACTAGGTGCAGCTTATTACCGGAGTAGCGTTCTAGACTTTTTTTTTTCTAAAGACAAATTAAAATGATGAGAAAAATAAATAAAAAATAAATAAATTTGGTATCAAACAAGTTTTAATAATGATATTAAAATCTCTCACTGGTTTACATTGCCAAGCCAGAGAGTTATTCATAAGCTTTGTTTACCTCGGGTTTTTTTTACTACTCCTACATCTCTGTAATTAGGTTTATTTATTCGGAGTATATTACGTACATGGAATGTGTTTCTTTTCTCAGTCATTGGTCAAATTATATAATCTAAGACATTGGATAATTTTTATTAGTGTATGTATTTTCTTTAATTATATCATAAATAAAATAGACATACATTATCATTTCCTTTGTAAAATTTTTTATATGATTTTTAAATGTGTAAGTTGCATTTTATATTTATATAGTCATTCATAACCAATTTAAAAGGTATGATATTGATAATGTAAATTAACCACTCGAGCGAACTGTGCTAAACCGGGTCTAAAGTAGTTTGCTGAGCTTAGAGTGTCAAGGAACCAACTCAACCAAAAGCTCAAGCTTATGGTTGTGGCCCAGGAACAGTTATTTATATTCTAACACGCCCCCTCACGTGCAGGCGTAGTCTTTTTCGAGCCTTGCACGTGAAACCTTAATTTTTTTTAAACTGGGTGGCGCTGAGTTTCGAACCCGTGATCTCTTAGTCAACGAGGCTCCGATACCATGTCAAGGAACCGATTCAATCAAAAGCTCAAGCTTGTGGTTGTGGCCAAGGAACAGTTATTTATATTCTAACATAGAGAATAAAGAAGTCTGGAAAGCAAATGTTGACCGGTAAGACTGTAGGTGGAAATACCTGTAGTCCAATTGTTATTAAGTATGTGGAGAGTGCGAGACGTTATTACAGCATGAACTCTAGAGAGATTAAATTCGAATCCCTTCACTACAATAATAATGCTCTTTAATGTAAATATAAACCGTAGTTAAAGTGAAGAATACCATCATTAACACATTTTAATGAGAGGAATTTTACTCTCATCAACCGTCATTATAGCCTCCCTAGTTAATTACATATAATGACGTGTTACATGTCCTCTCATTAAAATTATTCAATGAGAGTATTTTTACCTTCATCAAAATACTCTTTTAATGACGAAATATCCTGTCATAAATAAAATTCTTACTAATAAGAATTATATTTTTTATGATTATATATCGTCATTAATGCATACCGACACACACACATAGACATACACACACAGATATAATATATATATATATATATATATATATATATATATATATATATAGACACACACACACACACACATATATATAGGGTGTGGTTCCCGTGAGAATGATGCTTGGTGAAAGAAACAAGAATGATCTTGATCCATCGGATAAGATGAATCGAATCGCCAAGATTTTGCATCACCCTTGATCATTGATGACTAGTAAAAATGCTAAGTATTTATTATATTCCATAAAAAAGGAATGTAGTAATTACTAAGGGCCTATAGGGAAAATAAAAAATCCACCAACTTAATCTAACCCTTAAAGAAAACCAAATCTCCAATGTTTCGAATTTTCTTTTTTAAAAGTAATGTAATATTAATTTTATTTAATTTAATTATTCCTTTATTTCAATTTTATTCTATTAATTTTTGGATTACTAAATAATGACCCGTGACTGACTTTGTATGCAATGAGAAAGTCTGAGAATGCAAACCCACGGCTTCATTTATAAAAAAATTCATTATCTAGAATATACAAATGCATCATATATTTTTAAGGAGAATTCATTATCCGATAGGTGAAATTTACTTTGATTTTGCAAATGTACAATAATCATTTACATTAATTCTAAGAATACACCTTCTTATCATGTAAATGCATTCTTCGACTCCGATAATTCACAATAACAATAATAGAAACCCATGCTGACTTTGTTCATTATGAAATAACAAAAACGCAAACACGTTACAATGCACTTTGAATTCTCTATGATGCAAAACTAGAGTGTATAATACGCATTTATAGGTATCTTGCTCCATGATTCAATATTAGTGCTTTTTGTACTCTTCTTAGTATACAAAATCTGGGAAAAAAGATGGAAAAATAAAAAAAATACAAGGTAGAAACAAAATTTTATGATATGTGAAAATAAAATTTAAAATGTAATGGAGTGTAGATTTAAGGAAAAAATTAGACTTGAATGCAAGAGGATTATTAAGGTAGAAAAACCAAAATTGCACTCTTAGAGCCTTAAAATACTCTAAATAGCAGTGCTATATGTTTCCTACATGTGATTCCGGTTTTGTCCTTTAATTAAACAGAAAATATTCATTATACACTGCAAAAAAATATGACTATTTTTGGCAGTGTGATTGTTCACTTGTACCTGTGTAGTGAACAGTGTGGTTTTATATGTGAGTATTTAATGTGGTAGTGTAAAATTAATATATGTTGTTATATCTTACGACAATGTGTAAGTATATTATTGTAACACCCTAATCCTTCCAAATCTTCAGCCCCTTTCGAACTGAAGTATTAACTTCGAAATCGTAAAAAAATTAAAAGTTTTCAAACACTTTTATTAATCATAATAATATTTTTCATAACATATACAGTACGGGGTATTCAACAATATTGCGGAAGCGGATTTAAATATTGTCATATCATAATAATTCATTTCAAGACTTGACACATTCATCCCGAAAAACTCGCCCCATCTACCGCCAGGATCCCATTGTTTTTTTTGTTTACCTGCGCGTAGCAAATAAAATACACTACACGCTCAGCAATAAATCTGAGTAAACATATCTAATGTGTCAAACATCCATATAAACTGAATCTAAATTCATAATCAACTCATTTGATATCATGCAAAAAATGTTCATTTCAGACATTCAGAGTTTTGGTATTGTTCAGTTCATATCAAGGCCAGATCATAACAATGCTCTTAGCTAATCTTAGTCTAACGCCAGATCATAACAATGCTCTTAGTTATTCTTAGTCTAAGGCCAGATCATAATTTTCATAACTAGACTCTTAAACTATGGCTAGTTTAAGGCCATTAACAAGACTCTTAAAAAGAAATTAATAATCAGACATTTAAACTATCATTAGTTTATGGAAATTCATTTCAGACTCTTAACTGTAGTCGGTTAAGGAAACAACAATATAGCGATTGATCAACGTCGGATCGGGGCATTCCCAAACGAGTGATCCTCTAGTTTGGTCTACGAATCCTGTTTTGCGTTTTTATCTAATTCATCAAATATTCATGTTTTCATAAGTCTGTTCTAATACGAGATCTGTTCTAGAGGTCTTCTAGATAGTCTTAACATGAATTAACTAAATGGGTATATCTTAGAGTTTTTTTTTATCCCCTTAAGAATACAATCATTTCATAATTATCAATATATTCATTTTACTCATGGTTCAATCATCAATAATAATTTTAATCAGTAAGTTCATCATTCATAACCATCCATAATAATCATTCATCATAATCATCAATCAACACAACAACCGATAACAAATAGTGGTCTAGTTTCGAGTGTTAACACCCGAACTTACCGTCATGCATCACATAACATTTTTATTTGTTAAAACATAATTTTTATTGTGAAAAATCATCTTTATAATGATCATAATCAATTGGTATCAAAAATAGGATTTTAGAGCTCAAAAATAACATTTTTGGACAGATTTTCGGATCAAAATTTTGGGAGATCGATCCAGCCCTCTAGATTGATCCAAGCTAGAAAAACTATCTCCAGATAATCGATCCATCCCCTTGGATCGATCCAGACAGTATGTTTTTGGTCACTTTTCATCTTCTTCTATCTCTCGAGTCCAATTTCGAAAATATCATTTTAGTTACCGAACTTCAACAAAACTATATAAAAATGTTCTCCAAGGTTTATAGATCATTTTGGTATCATTAATTCATAGTTTTAACAACAATTTCATGGTTTATGATTCTTGGTTTTTCAAGCATGTCAAAAAAAACTCAACCAAACGACCATTTGTGATCGTAGAAACAATCTATACGAACATTCTAGATATATCTATGGGCTTACCTCGAGCTTAAATGGAGCTTAAATGGCGAAACTTCTGGCGACGAAAATTCCTAACTCCAGCAGCCTCGGCGGCAACCAACAACACCAGACTGCTTGTTATGACAGATAGAGCTCGGGATGCTAATTCCTGGGAACGGGTCGAGAGCCTGGGGGAGAGAGATCAACCCGAGCAAGATGGGACGCGTGACAAAGTGGTACGATGAAGCGGGCGGACACGGAGGCCGCCAATATGGCAACAGGATTACGAGACATGACTTACACCTATTTAATATTCATTATTTATTTATGGTTTTATTAATTGTACTTAGATTTTATTAGGTGAGCGAAAATAAGCTCCTTCGAGGGTTTCTTTGCGGTTCTTTACCTTGTCGCTTTTCTTGAACCGTCAGGATAGATAACATAGATGCTAGGGTTTATGATTAGGGTTTGCTCATATAAAAGGTTGTACCCTATTCTTGGGGAAGGCATGGGAAATAATAAACAAAACCCTAATTCTCTACATCCTTCTCGCCTCTCTCTTGGAGTACGGAGACACTCGAAGCTCTCCTTGTTCGTATCACTGCTCCCCTCACTCTCAAGATTCTTATGGGATAATTTTCAGAAAGTTTCTGTGAAGAATTGAGAGGGATGAAGGGACCCCTTTATAGTAGTGTGGAGAAGGAAGCTGACAATGAGCTGAGTTAGTGATGCGTAGAATTTCCTCAGTGCGCATGACAGCGATTCCCTGAGATTTACACGTCGTTCACTGATTGTGACCAATTTTGGTTCCAGTTAGGGTACACTTTTCGGTCCAACTTTCTCTAGTTGAAATTCCATTTGCACCATTGTAATTGGATAATTAAACTCTATCCTACGATATAATTTTTATATTAATTTGTAATACTTTTTCCGACATCATATTTTTTGGTGTTTGACTTTGACAGAGTCAAAATTTGTTTAATTGACCTTTATTCAAAAAGGTTCTCACATTTAATTAATATCATTTGTGCTCATGATTTATTTGAATAAATCACTTCAAAGTTCGCATCATAAGCAATTTCCTTAATTATTCTTGATTTGGGTCTGTACTCAGGTTCCCAACCAAGGTCACACAAATAGTGAACACATTGGATTTATCTGTATAAGATTTATCCTGATTGTGATATTGGATATCAAAACACATTTTATTTTGGCCCAAAGGTCAACAACAATTTATTTTAATCAAAACAAATTTGATTAATCGAATAATTATTCATTATTAATCCTAGGGTATGTTTTGGGGCGTTACATTTCTCTCCCCCTTAAAGGAACTTCGTTCTCGAAATTCTTCTAAGGTCCACGATCAACATCTTGTTGTATTCATGACTACTTCATGTTCACATGGTTATGTCGTTATCTTACACATACGTATTCTCAAACTATTGACGTCCCCAAACTAGTTCAACCTCGAGAGATTAACAATATTTGATTAAGAAATGCATTCAATGATCCTTTAGTATTGATGACAAAAGTTCCTTCATAGTGTATAGTATTGTATACTTTCCATATTTCCACATAACTTCGTTCAGTCACGATTCTCATTTGTACGTCTTTGGTCAACATAATTCTTTTCTCATTTGAAAAGTTCTTCAGTCCTCGTTGTAGGAGGTTCATGACAGGCATAGTTATTTCAATTCATACGTATGTCACGAAAGTGAATCTAACTGTTCATGAGTCTCAATATGTCATATCGTCAGCAGACTGTAGTATTGGCGAGTACATCATTGTCAGTAGGTAAATCGAATCCATCTTTGCTGTACAAACTTCGACTGAGGATAACCACCCTTTTTTCTCAAAAGTCGGGTTTCAGAGCCTATATATATCACGATTGTGGCAAGAGTATCTTGCATTCTCACATGCATTATGGAAGGAACTTCTTGCAGTTTTCCTTACACCATAAAACTCGTTGGTCTATTTGGTAGTCATGCTTTTGGTAAAAATTTAAAGTTCATGGCTACGGCAGTGGATTTACGAAGGGAATTGGTAAGGCAGAAAATTAGACTTACCTACAGTGGAGGTAATGTCGGCCTTCAAGGAGCTGTTGCTTCAACAGTCTATACCAATGGTGGTATAGTTAGAGGCTTCATCTCAGGGTACATAGGAACACGACAGATCTACGGACCTACGTACGATGTAGAGTACACAGTTTCCAGCAATTACTATAAGTATTTTGAGATGAATCATGTTGTGGAGGCTTTTATCATACTTCCCCGAGGGATTGATGCTATGGAAGGTTTGTATACTTTGATTTCATGGGAATTTGAAGGGTTGCACAGCTCATTGGTCTCTTGAACATTGACGGTTATTTCAATAACCTAATCAAATTTCTAGATAACGCGGTGAGGCAGAACTTCATGGCTTCTATTCAGAGGAAACTTTTCATTTCTTCTTTCTTCATTGATGAGCTTTTAGACAATCTAGAGTTCGCTAAAGCTTTTCCAGGTCCTGGGGCTAATTATGACGAGTTCGTAAATCCTAGGAGGTTAGACTTAGAGTTGCATTTGTAATATTACTTTATGTAATTTCAGTTAAATTTGTGTTGGAATAATATTGTTCATGAACATTATGAGTTAACCACAAATATTATTCTAAGCTCCATGACTAGTGCAAGTCAGAAAAATATCTATTTTCAACATCATAATGCATCATGTAAATATCAAACATTTTCTCAAGATGGGTCAAATGAAAGATTTCATTATACAAAATATTCAATACACATAGATTCAATCAAATACGAATATTCTTGAGATACAAATCGAAAAATAATTTCTTGTTTACAGAAAGTTCTTCATTCTTCAACACATCCTCGAGCACTTTTAATATTTTAGGATCTTCACAGAGTATCATCCTTGGATTGAATTCTTTGAATTGTTTTGTGTTTTAGAAAGTTGACTTGTTCCTGAACGGACAGATTGATTTTGGACGGAAGTAACTGAATATGATTCAGGGTTAGATGGACATTCTCTTCGGAAATGTCTAAGTTTACCACAACCTAAACATAATCCTTGTGCAAGCCAGCAATCTCCTGGATGGTGCCTTTTACAAACGTTACACTTTGGATGTATCCATACCCTCATTTTGTTCATGGATGACGTCGATTGAATTGTCATTGATTTTCCCTTTTTCGAATGTAGGGCACTATCGATTTCTTACAGGTGTCTCTTCCCACTAGTATTTGGTTGTACTTTTGAATTGGCAATCTCAGTCTTCAGACTTTCATAGTAATCACTTAGATCTTTTTCAGCTTTGGAGATTAAGTCGTATGCCTCAATGAAATGCACAGTTCGAATAGTAGATACGTGCGGCCTGAGATCAGGTCGGAGTCTTTTGCAAAACTCCTCAATGCGGTCAGCCACTGTTCTTACAAGTGTGGGTGCAAATTGAGCGAGGTGGACAAATTTTTGATGGTATTCAGGGAGTGTCATATCTCCTTGCTCCAATTCACTCAACTCAGCATGCTTCTCTTCACGAAATCGAGTTGGGATATATTCTTTCTTGAACGCCCAATCAAAGAATTCCTAAGCCCAAGGTTTGGGTGTGTTTGGATTTTCGTCACTGCGTTTCCACCATTCATAGGCTTCTTTGAGGAGCAATTGAGATGCAAATTTTGGATGATCAACAAGAGGTACGTTCAAATTTTTTAGTACACAAGCGGTCTGCTCGATCCATTCAAGAGCGATCTGGAGTTCGGCAATTCGATCTCCCAGAAACTCCTCAGCACCATTATCTTTCAAGGTTTTGAAAGTGATCAAACGAGGTGGAGGTGGAGGTGGTTGAAACACAGGGGCATTGGTCATTTGTTGCAAGAAGTTTACCATTAAGGTAGGTAGCATAGCATCAGGTTGACCTCCAATATTTTGATCATTTTGGGGAATATTTTGTGAGTTCACTGGTTCATTTTGAATAGGAGGTGTGAAACTGGATGCTTCGGTATGAACATTCTCGTGCTCATTATTTGGCACTTGGTTACTTTGATTGTGAGCGGTTTCTTGACTCATTCTACAAGTTATAGAAATTTCTTCATTAGAATTCTTTATTTGAATAGGCGAGTTGACAACAGATATTTATTCAATCAAACTACATCACTATTTTCGATTGTAAGCAATTGAGTCACTAGTCGTTCCTTAACAAGGCGTCACTTCATTCAACAAGGTTGAGCTATCTATAGCTTCTAACAAGTAGTTCTTTGACCGAGTAAGTTGTCAGTTTGTAGCAAAGGATAGCAATTTCAGATCGTCAGTTCGTTCAAGTTTCTTAATTGGGATTCGAGGTATCCTGACCATAAGTCAATCTTATAGAACACAATGGATCCTCTAAGCAGATCAAATAAATCATCGATACGAGGTAAAGGACAACGATTTTTCTGGTAATTGATACAGAGTCTCATCGATCTACCCTTTATTTGCGTATTCATTTGAGATGAACTCGGTTGGTTTAATAATCAGCTTTGCTTTCACCTCTATGAGATTACCATCATTGGTCTTTAGTTGAAGAATTCTTCATCAAGATTTGTCAGCAGAACGCCATTTAGTCAGCCAATTCATACTAAGGATAACATCAATTTTCCTTGTATGGTATTTTCAACGAGGTAGCTTTATATGTTCTTTTCTATAATGTCAAAAGGGAAAGTGTTTAGGTAGCTTTATATGTTCTTCTCCTCCATGTCTCTCCTTATTTAACTTGGGTATTTAGGTAGCTTTATATGTTCTTTTTTATAATGTCAAAAGGGAAAGTGTTTAGGTGATATGCATCTAGTAAGGTGGAATGTTTCTACTTTTTTGTATGCGTTTTGTGAGGGGGGACTATGCCTTGTTTGAGTGGGAATATTTAGGCATATCCTTTTGTGTTGAAATATAGCATGATTTTAGGGGGGGTCCTATATGCATATCTCTCATTATTTGTCGATTTCAAAAAGGGAAAATTGTTCGACCTTGTATGGGAATCATTAATATGTGCACTAATATTTTAGCATGATTTCCAAGTGTAGGTTTTGATGAATGACAAACTACGAGATGTTGTTGACGAGCAATGAACAAAACCAGGTTTTGTTGACAAAGAACGTGTGATTGAAGTGAAAATTGTGCCAAGGATATATACACAAGCAAATAAGTAATCTATGACCATCGATTTTTGGTCATCGATTCTCGGTGTTCAATTATCGGCATTTGGTTATTGGCTCGTCTTTTTGATTTTATCCAAATGGGTTTTGACTTTTTATCTTTGATTTTTACTTTTAGGCACATTCAAATGATTTTCACACTTTGATTTTTCAAAAAACCGCATGTGGTTTATGGTTGTTAGTCTTATCACGTGGTAATCCGTTTTTGACTAAATGGTCCATGGGTTTTGACCTTTAAGGCTTGTTTTTTGCCTATATACCTTGGTTTATGCTTTATATACCATAAACAAGTGTTTTCAATAATTGGTTTTTGGTTTGGGGGACTTTTGTGCTTTTGACCGACTTTTAGCCTTTGGTTTTTTACATTGGCATACTGATTTTTGCCCAAAAACCGTTAAACACCTATTTTTGCAAGTGATATTCGATGTTTTGGCCTCCAGACTTACCAAAAACTATTGAACATCGATGTTGCAAAGTGATATTATATGTTCTGGCATATTTTTCACCCAGACGTATCTAAATCTTTTAAGCATATTACCCGAAAATCATTCACATTTAGAAACCACGATATTTGTTATCATTTGATCCAACATCCGTACATCTTAAGACATCAGGCTTACATTTTTATTTGTACTTCTCCATTATTCTCCTTGCCTCTTCTAAACTATCATCAGCTGATGTTGCAGCGCCATTTCCAGTTGGCCTTTCATCCTTATTTAATGCCAGAAATGCAAAATACACAACTCCCATCACACCCTATTTGCCACAAGCAAATGCCCAGTATTATTTATATGGCAAAGTTATTTGTTATGCATATAATTCCAAGAAGTATACAAAAAGCAAAAAGTCAGCCATGCAATTGCTTAATTTTTTCCATGGTCTGCCCAAAGATGAAGATGATGAAAATGGGAGAAACTCAGCATTCTCCATTGATATTTTGCGTTATTGCAAGATTATAATTGTACGACTAAGATTAATTGCTTAGCGATAAACATGGCATGTAATAGAGCAACAAGTTACACCAATATTGATATCAAAATATAGGGAGAACTACTTAACTAGGACTAAAACATCCTCCATATATCAAAATAGTACATTCAATATGATTTTTATACCAAAATAAGACATATAATGCCAAAGAGTGTCAATATATAATGTGAAAAAACAATGTGAAATGCCAACATACAATACCAAGTTGTGGCATTGTACAATTTCAATGCTCTTGTTTAGGAGTTAAAACCATACGATGTCCTATCTTGGTATATGTTTAATGTTTTAATCCTATTTAGATATATTTTTATGAATATATTAAAAATGGAATGTATAATGATCGTGACATTAAAATACCTAAACATACCAGTCCAAAGAAGACAGTAGAGAGGAATGACTTCAGTGCAAACAATGCAAGGGTAAGTGCAGCTGCTGCAACTGATACACTCGCGATTGGCCTTGGAATAGAATCCTGACAAGCAAATATATAAATAATTTCAGAGCCAAATTTCCGCACAAAAGTGCTGCTTATTTTGCAGGCCATATTCAATAGACACATATTTGTTTACCGGCACCATGTTTGCTCCAACTTCAATTCCATGCTTGCCAACATTCCACACTGTTCTCGCAACTATTTGAAAAATTAAGGGAAAAACTTTTAAACACGAAATGTAAATTAAAGAACAGTCCATTATTAGAACTTGAGATATGAGGGTGTCAAGTTCATTTAACACAAAAGAATCACATGTATATAGTCATACACGTTACGTAAGCTAAGATAATTAAAAAGAGAGCGATCGGGATTCTTGACTACCAAAGCCCTCTGCTCCTTTATGTGTATCAACTACTAAAATCCACCAAGTTCGGATCGATGTTACTAGTTATTCAAGTCCTATGTGAGAGTTCAAGAGTGCTTTTTTGAACACTTCTCGAACAATAATCAGGTATGTACTTGTTTTTAACTTTTTAGCATATGAGGTTTAAGCGTATAAGCAATGAGCAGGTAGATATTTGCTTGTGGATTATTGGAAATTGCTTAAAATTAGCAATGAACCAGAAATTTAAGTTTATTAGCCAAAATTATGAGCAGAAATTTATAAGCCTATTAACCAAAATTATACCAACACCCTTAAAATAAACAACAAGAAGAAATTTAAATTCTCTAAAAACACCCCCTTCATATTTCATAGTTCACAGGCGCGATTGAAATTCCCCTACTCGGACATCAATATTCAAGTCTCCAGTAACAGAAACATATACGGGTAACTACTAATGGATTACCAAACATATACATATCTCATGAATTGAACACTTCTTTGTAGGAAATGTAAATTAAAACTTGTTACCTCTGATGAAATTGGATTGAGCAGCGAATACTGAAGGTCGGAGATGATTTCTGCGGCTTTTTAGGTTATTGAATGAAAGCGCGATTCGCTCCGTCTTCTTCGGCCAAGAGATAGGGTTAGGGGAAAGAAGGTGAGATTTGCAGAGACTAGGGAGCGCTGGGTAACTGTAAGGTGAAAGATAAACATCCGTGCGGATAGAAGCCATGGAAGCCATTTGCATATGTCCGGCCAGTCCGGGTCCTGGGTTCTATATGTCCCAACGTTTTGAGAGGTAACTTTTTTTTTCATTTTATTTTAATTTATTCTAACTCCATTTTTTTAAACTTTTTTTACTTCCCTTCAATTTTTCAAGTCCCTTTTCATTTAAAATTTAAGGATTCAAATTTTAAAATTAAATGTATGAACGGAAATGAAATGTTAGTTCTAAAATACTACCTAAACAAATTTATTTTGGATTTAAAGCTCTTATCTTTTCTCCTAAATTTTAAAATACTTATTATATTATATCTCTGACAAAACTCACCAAAAGCCTCTAAATCTTTTTAATTTCTTCTAACACTAACTTAAATATTATTACCTACATTTTGTATATTATTCTTACTTTAATTATTACTCCGTATTATTAAAACAAATACAAAGTACTTATTGGGTAACTTATAAATGTATACATGCAATAACACTCTCAAACACGGGCATAGATGAATTTTTCTTATCTCAATTCATTTTTTCACATATATTTTTCTTTTTTAATAATGTAGTAATTTAGTGTCTTTCCCTATATTTAAGTCATTTTTTTAGTACCGAGGAAAATGTAAATCGTGTCGTACCATCAGGAATTTTTAACAAAACCTTAATATTATTAATCTTGAGTCATTTTGATGAGACATAACACGTGATTATTTTATATTACTCCCTCCGTCCCAAAATATAAGCAAAATTACGCTAAACGAAATAATTTTTTGAATTTTTTTAATCCATTTTATTTAAAGAATGGTCTACAAATGAAAAATAAAACTTACATATTTAAAAACTACGTCAAAAGCTCTACAAAATAAGTGGTGACAAGAATATTTTATTCTATCAAATAATCAATGAAAATGCAAAAATAAATAAAAATTCCCAGGATTTTTAAATAGTGGAGTGTTGCTTATATTTTGGGACGGAGGGAGTATAAAGTGTCATGTGAAATTCTTTTTATTTGATCGAGTAAATATTAGATTATATGTTAATTTTTTCTGTTAATTAATGTTAATAAAAAAATTGTACTCTTTCTCCTACTATTTTCGGGATATGAGTTAGTGCTAGAAACTAGCAAATTGGTCGGTCAGATCGGGATATGTTCGTTTACTTCGGGTTCAAGTAACTTCAAGTTTGAGTTAATTCAGATTGAAGTTGAAAACTATGTGTCTATGACCCAGTATCATCGAGTTTGGGTGGACACAACAGGTTATGACTTTGGTTTTTAAAATTTTTAAAATCATACTACCTCCGTCCCATTGTCTTTGTCCAGTTTTGACTTTTGGAACTGTTCATCTAACCACTTTGACTCATCAAATTCTCTCAATGCGTAAGCCTAAAAATAGTCATGTGTGATCTTGTTTGATTCGTCTTAACATATAGATTATTAATATATAATTTTGATAATTTTTTTAATATACAAATTACAAGATAAAATGGATTAAAGAAGTGTATTGGATGGTGTGCCAAAAGGTAAGTGGACAAAGACAGTGGGACGGAGGGAGTATTAACACTTACATTTTGCATAAATGAAATTAAAATATCAAAAAGTATGTATTAAATCTATTTTATAATTTTATTTTAAATTACGAAGTAATGTTTAGGTATATAAACCCCTACAAAAAAATTAAAATATGCATAATTTTTGGAAAAAGTAAGATAATTATACAATATCATTAAAATTGTCTGAAAAATAAATTTATACCCTAAAAATAAATAATAAGAAAAATATTTAATGATAACCTTATTTCAATAACATTATATTTCCTTCTAAAGTATATAATTTTGAAAAATTCTTACATTAGCGGGTCGGTCACGTCGGGTTTGGTCGGGTTTGACCCATATTTAGCGTGTCATTTTAGATTCGGTCAACAAAATCTTTGCTCAAAACCTAATAATTTTTTAGTTAGATTTCAGGTCAAAAACATGTCTGATCAATCTTTGTCAGGTCTAGTTAGTGTCTATTTGGTTGGGGGTGGGGAGAAAGGGAATTTGAGTCACTCTCATTGTTTGGTTTAAAAAACATGAAGGGATAGCTTCAATTCATTTCCCTCCCCTCCTAATCAATCTTTTCAAATGTTGACGAATTCTTTTTCCCTTATGTCCTCATCTTCTTCTGCCAATATTTTCTTCACCTTATCATTTAAAAGATAATGATAAATAAATAAATAAAAATAATAAAAATAAAATAAATGAAATAATAATCATATTAAATAAAAAAAACTAAAAACAAAAATTAAAAATAAATATAAAAAATGTGAAAATAATATAAATTATCATGCAACAAAAAATTCTCCATAAATAGTAATAATAACAAAAACAGTTATAATAATATATTCAATAAATAATATAAATACTAATAATAATAATTTAAAAATTAAATACATAATAAATTAAAAATTAAAAAAATAATAGAATAATAAATTACAAAAAATAAATAAAAATCACTAGAAATAACAAATAAAAAGTTATACTTATAAATATTTTAATAATCAATAAATAAATGATAAATCAATGTAATAAATAACATTTAAAATAATAATAAATAAATATTAAATATATAATATACTAAAAAATAAAAAATAAAAAATTATAGAAATAATAAAAATAAAACTAGTAATAAAAATAAAAAACAAAATTATAAAATTAAAATTTAAAAAGTAAAATAATATTAGTAATAATTTAAAATAACTAAATAAATAATAAAATGAAAAATATTAAATACAAAAACTAATTTGAGAACAAAACATTTCCTCCCGTCCCAACCAAACAAGGTGAAGGGAATCCTAATAGCTATTGAATGGTAAATTTCACGTATTGTATACTAACTTTGAGGTTTATTTCATTTCGGTATACCAACTTTGTTTTCTTTCAGAAAAGTACTCCAACTTAACACTTTCTTTCACTAATGGTATTTTAGCCGATTTCCAGGTTAAAAGTCGGTTACCAATCATACGTGGATGCCTACCCGTTCTTCTCTCTCCTCTCTCCTCTAAGGCATCATCATCCCTGTTGAAGGGGCTTACAGTGAAGACCAGCTACGGCCCCAACCAGATGAACGACCCCTGAACCTGCAAAATCAATAACCCCATATCCGAATAGAAGATTCCCGTCAGATCTGGAAGCGCTCGCCCAACCGTCGCCGGACTAGAACCAATGGGAAATGATTGGGTAAACGAATCCCGTCAACAGCGCGGAATAGAGCAGATACGCGCAGAATTGAGTCCTCTCCGCGATCGAACCGCTGGTGATTCCGGCCGCCGCGATGGTGAAGCACCACTGGTAGAGAAAGTAGATTTAATCGAACGATTCAGAGGGGAATCCGGAGAGGCCGAAGTTGTGGGTCCCGATGAAGCTGTTGGAAGGGCCTCCGAAGACGAAGGCAAATGCAAATAGGAAGTAAAAGAGTCTGCCTGCGGCGGCGTCGATGACGTTCGTCAGCATGATGATCATGGTGTTCTTCGCCCTGACAGATCCGGCGCAAAGCATGGCGAAGCCGAGCTGCATGGCGAAGACGAGGTAGGCGGAGAAGAGGAGGAAGCTGGTGTCGACAGTGCGGCCGGTGTCGGCGAATTTGTCGGAGACGCTGTTGAATTCGTTGTAGATGAAGTAAAATAACCGTGATGATGATGCGTTAGAGGAGAGAGGAGAGAGAAGAAGGGAGTGATTTAAATTGGGGTGCCAAGTAGGCATTCACGTAGGATTGGTAACCGGCTTTTAATCTAGAAACCGGCTAAAATACCATCGGTGAAAGAAAGTGTTAAGTTGGAGTACTTTTCTGAAAGAAAACAAAATTGGTATACCGAAGTGAAATAAACGTCAAAGTTGGTATACCATACGTGAAATTTACCCGTTAGAGTTGAGAGCATGAAAAGCAACAGAGAGGCAGAGAATGACTATAAAGGAGAAAAAAGAAACTCATTGCCAACACTCTTCGCCAGAAAAAACTCAACACACGCACTACCAAGATTGTTCATCACGCACGGAAGATTTGTCTTAGTATTTCTAGTAGATTTACTCATGAAAGTGATATCTTCTCTTGAGTCCAGGCTCTTGTTTCTAAGCTTCCACTCGTGTCACGTGTTTGGCTTGAGGGATGATGTTATACGTATAATAGTAATAATAATCTATATTATGGTAGGTCAGCATGAGTTCCGCCAACTTTTATTCCAATACCTAGCTCCAAGCTGTTCTTCGTTATCGATGATCTGTTTGCCAGAAATATTAAAAATAATATAGATAATCGGGGAAAATTATTATTACTATTATTATTATTATTAATTATCTTCCTTATTTATATTGTTTCCTTATTATGTTGTTATTATAATTCCTATTATACTATGATTAGGACTCCTCTCTTGTAATCCAAATACATATGGATAGAACCTTTATTAATTAATAAGATCAATTACTATCAAATTCTATCAGAAAGCATAGACGACAAAAGCCGAAACTACCACCTAAGGCCTAAACAACTATCTAGCTACCTTCAGTGGCGGATCCAGGATGTTAGATAGTAGGGGTCACTTTTCAGGTGTTCGGGGGCAACGTCCCCAAAGCTTTTTTTATACATGCAATGTGAAACTTTAAAAAAAATAATGAATTTACCCTCAAACAGTTATTCAAATAGTAAAAAAATAAAAAAATAGATTTTTTATTTAATGCCAATATTAAAAATTAGTTTAATTATTACTCCTTATATTTCTAGTGTACTACTTTAGAATTTATCGTTGGACTTTTAAATATTTCACTTTAAAATTATATTCTTTTAATATTTAAATATTCAACTTCTCTCATTGTTTTCTTACTTAACACTATTGATTGAGGTCTCTAATATTTTCAATTGGGATCTCTAATATTTTTAGTTGGGGTCATAAATTACATGACTCTAAGAAACATTTAAAAAAATTAAGTATCACAATACATATGTTTTAAAAAACTTAAAAATAGTAGAGGGTCATTGCCCCCAACTACTTTAATATGGATCCGCCCCTGGCTACCTTAGTCCTATATCTTGAGATGCTCTTATCTAAGGTCATATTTTCAATAAGGACTTATAGTCATGGTCGAATTTTGATTTTGAGATTGATGATTCCAATTTGGGTTGGAATCCTAACTAAAATCGGTTAGGGTTAGTTTCTGTTGCATAAGGCGTTTAGTTTTTGTTATTCTCTTTTTTATAGAAATTTATGTTTCCTACTTCATACCATTTTTTATTTCTAAATATTGTGAATCAATCTTTTATAAATTTAAAATTATTTTTCAAAATAAATTAATATTTTTATTAAAGAGAAATGAGAAAATATCATTCTTTGTATACCAAATTGCCATGTTTTAAAAATATTACAGTACTAAAAAGAAAAGATTTTATGGGTTAAAGAAATTGCAACTATTTAAAAATATTGTAGTTACACTTTTAAATATTTTACTGACAATATTGAAAGAAAGATGAAAGAAGTGGTATTGTTCTAAACGTTTAGTGGAATTCTCCTATGTATAATGCTAGGATGTGTTAGTGAACAGGGTTCCCGCCAAAAACAAGGACCAATGACTTTGGGTTTGGGCCTGCATATCCGGGCTAACGGACGGTTTTGGGCCAAGACTTCTTGCTTCTCGAATTTCCTTCATCATGTCAAATCATTGTGTGGCTCAAGAATTATTTAATTGGTGCCTTCTTCCATAAAGTGGTGCACTCTTCCATAAAAATAAAGTATTTGTCAAATCTATTGTGTGGCTCAATGAATGCTTTATGTCAAATCTATTAAAAATATAGATTTGCTCTATCCAAGCATTTAATTGATGGATTAATAAGTTCATTTTCCAAATATTATATATACTTCTTCTACCATTTAAGCATGTTACGCATGGTGTGCATGGGCCACGCGAAGAGGACGCGACACACGAGAAACGGGAAACGGGTCGGGCCAAGTTGAAACGGGCCGAGGTAGCAGGAGTTCGAGAGGAGAAGCGTGGGGAGCCACCCGAGCGACGGACGAGAAGACCCCCGGGTTGGCACAGGGATTATGTTCTCAAGTAAATTAATAGTTTTATATTTTCATTACGTGTAATAGATTTTCTTAGGTGGACATATTATAAGTTCCTTCAAGGGTTTTCTTTTAGGTTATTTCCCTTGACGCCTTTTTTGAACCGACGGAGTAGGTAGGATTAGAATGGGCCGAGGTAGCGGGAGTTCGAGAGGAGAAGCGTGGGGAGCCACGCGAGCGACGGACGAAAAGACCCCCGGATTGGCACGGGGATTATGTTCTCAAGTAAATTAATAGTTTTATATTTTCATTACGTGTAATAGATTTTTTTAGGTGGACGTATTATAAGTCCCTTCAAGGGTTTTCTTTTCAGTTCTTTCACTTGACGCCTTTTTTGAACCGACAGGGTAGGTAGGATTAGGGTTTCTCAATAACTATAAATAGGGGATATATTCTCTTTGTTTTGGCACCACATAATCAAAAACCCTAATTTCCTATTGGAGTTTGAAGGCACTCGAAGCCCTTCCCTACTTTCACGTATCAAAGTGCTCTCGTTGAGAGTCATGACAGACGTACGCATCGTCCACCACGAACGAACTCGAGACTAGGGTTCGCGAGATGGGACACGCCATGGTGCAGATGTAGAGAGATTTGGAGTTCTGGTTTGAGCGGCTTGATGTGGCTCTGACTACCATCCAGACCGCTGTCGCTGGCATCCAGGCATGGGGCGGCGGACGGGTAGGACGGCACCTGGAACAGTGGAACACCACAACAGAGGCGGGTGATTTCAAACGCCGAAGCCCAAACTCGAGCCACCCAAGAGCGACGGCGCGAAACCCTTGCGTTGGCTATACTAGGTACAGGAGTATTTTGCTTACTACGAGACACCGCTAGAGGATAGGTTACGATGTGTAACCATGATGCTCGAAGGACCAGCCGCCGATTGGTTTCGATGGCGGAGGAACAACGGCTTAATCGCGGACTAGGAGGACTTCGTAAGGAAATTCAAGCTACGATTCGATCCACTTCACTATGTGGACTACGTAGGCCAATTAGCCTGAGTCCGACAGGTAGGAGGGGTCATGGAGTACCAGGCAGCTTTCGAGAAGGTCCTAACCCAGTCACCGACGTCCCCGAACTCTACCTACAGTCGTTGTTTCATGCCGGGTTAAAGAATCACCTCCAGCACGAGATAAGTTTATTGAAACCCGACACGTTGTCAGAATCATTTGTGTTGGCCCGAGAACTAGAAGCAAAGCATCAGGCCATCGTGCATTCGGTCGGGCTGAAAAGTTTGTCATGGGGCACCTACCCGAACCGTAGCAACCCCAGCTGTGCCGTGTCAGAGGCTTCCGTAGGGTTAGTAATTAAGCCGGGTCAAGCGGGGAGTGTGAACCAAAAACTGCCGGAGAGGCACAGAACCTCCAGCATAACCCTGATAAGGTGCCTTACGTGAGCGGAGCGTTTGGAGAAGGACGCAAAGGGATTATGCTATAATTGCAATCAAAAGTGGCACAAAGGGCACAAGTGTGGCCGGTTTGTTTTGATCATGGGAGAACATGAGGGGGACGAGGACGACAGCGCGGGGGAGGAAGAGATAGAAGTAGCCGATGATATCTCCAGTTTGAATAGCCTAGCAGGGGTCACCACACCATGGTCGTTGAGACTTACAGGCCGGATACAGTTTAAAGAAGGCGACTGGGTATTGTTGAAATTGCAACCCTACCGGTAGCACTCCGTGGTCCGGCGAAGTTCCCAAAAGCTTGCGCGACGGTTTTACGGGCCGTACCGAGTGCTCGCACGTATTGGGGAGGTGGCTTACAAACTGGAGTTACCTGCGGAATCAAGGATTCATCCGGTATTCCACGTGTCGCTATTACGGCCCTATTATGGAGCTGCCCTGGAGCAAGACCAACGAGCATTGCCATCGGAGTTCGTGCATGGCCAACCGTTATCCGACCCAATGAGGGCATTTTCCAAACGGGAGGCATTGGTGAAGGGGCGCCCAACGAAACAATGGCTGGTGGAATGGGCAGACGGGGGACGCGACGACGCCACGTGGGAACCGTATGAATGTATCCGGCAACGGTTTCCCGCGTTACACCTTGAGGACAAGGTGGCTTCGCAAGCGGAGGGGAATGTTACGCATGGTGTGCATGGGCCACGCGAGGAGGATGCGACACACGAGAAACGGGAAATGGGTCGGGACAAGTTGAAACGGGTTGAGGTAGCGGGAGTTCGAGAGGAGAAGCGTGGGGAGCCATGCGAGCGACGGACAAGAAGACCCCCGGTTGGCACGAGGATTATGTTCTCAAGTAAATTAATAGTTTTATATTTTCATTACGTGTAATAGATTTTCTTAAGTGGACGTATTATAAGTCCCTTCAAGGGTTTTCTTTTCGGTTCTTTCCCTTGACGCCTTTTTTGAACCGACAGGGTGGGTAGGATTAGGGTTTCTCAATAACTATAAATAGGGGATGTATTCTCTTTGTTTTGGCACCACATAATCAAAAACCCTAATTTCCTATTGGAGTTTGAAGGCACTTCAATCCCTTACCTACTTTCACGAATCAAAGCACCACCCACAAATTCATAAAAGTGAAATCTTCTTACATTCAAAATGTCTCAAATATCTCAACAATGTTCAAAGAGCATGTGGACTCTCGTTGTAAAGCTTGACAATAATCGGACCAGTGGGATGCTCAAGTTACGAGGAGTGCGTGTTTACTTTGTTCCAGTTTAGACAAAAGGTGGAGATTCAATGGAGATCATCGTTCACGATGAGCATGTATCATATTCCTAATTTTATTACAGTTATTTACTTTTTATTTTTTATTTATTCTAATATCAACGTTTCTCCTTTTCTATAAGGCACAAGGATTCACGCTCATCTTTTCGGAATGTCTTTGTTCATGAAAACTACCAATCGTGCAAAACCACCATAAATCAAAAGCATTTAGTTTTTTTAACTCTAACTATGTACGGAGTACAAAGCTATGATGATTTTTTTGAATAGTGTTGCTACATAAATTAATGGACTATCCAATTGGGTTTGGGCCTGCCGAATTAGGCCTAATTGATGGGTAGTGTATTGATATGGAACCGCGTGCGTTGTAAACTTGATGTGTGACTCAATGCAAACTTTATATCAAATCAAAATAAATAAATAAATAGGTAGTGTATTGATATGAAATTGCGTGGGTAGTAAAGTTGGTGCGTGGCCCCATGCAAACTTTATGTCAAATCAAAATAAATAAATGGTATTATATTGATATGGAACCGTGTGCGTAGTAATAATGTTGTTGTGTGGGTCGATGCAAACTTTATGTCAAATTAAACTAAATAAATGGGTGGTGTATTGCTATGGGACTGCGTACGTAATAAAGTTGGTGCGTGACTCGATAGAAACTTTATGTCAAATCAAAGTAAATAAATGAGTAGTGCATTGATAATGAATCATGTGCGTAGTAATGTTGGTGTGTGACTTGATGCAAATTTTATGTCAAATCAAAATAAATAAATGGGTAGTGTATTGCTATGGAACTACGTGCGTAGTAAAATTAGTGTGTGACTCCATGCAAATTTTATGTCAAATTAAAATAAATGAATAGGTAGTGTATTGGCATGGAACCGCATACATAGTAATGTTGGTGTGTGATTCGATGCAAATTTTATGTCAAATCAAGATAAATAAATGGGTAGTGTATTGCTATGGAACGCGTGCGTAGTAAAATTAGTACGTGGCTTCATGCATACTTTATGTCAAATCATATTAAATAAATAGATTTTCTAAATCAAGACATTTATTGGGTAGATAAATTGTCCAATTAATATACTACTTATACTCTAAACATTCCATACCTCTCATCCCGGTTCGACCCACTTTTGAAAAATGTCTCAAAACATTCAAAGAGTATGTGGAATGCGCTTGTCGAGATTGATAATAGTCGAACCACTTGGATGCTTATGTTACGAGTCGTTCGTGATCCTAAACCTCTATTATTAAAAATTTTAATTTTAAAATATTAAGAATTAATTATTTTTCTTCCCCACATTGATTTTATAAAATATTAAAATGTTAGTGCTCCCATTATTTTGTCGGGATAGTATTCTGGTCAAGATATAAAATGTTCTATCAAAATACAAATAGTTACAAATTGGAAATTATATTTTCTTTGATCTGGTTGTAACTTGTAACTGAGTCTCGAACTTATTAGTATTGCACCTTGGATTTTCTGCATAATTTTTCTTACTTTTTTGATTATTCTAAATCTTCATTGTCACAAATCTTCTCACGCTCCGCTCCACACCTTGATCTTCTTTGTCACAATCTTCTTTACTTAAATCGGTGACGTCTCATAAAATATCATCCTATGAAGTTTCCATGTATGATTGCGTAAATGAAAACGTTTGAAGTAAGTCCTCTCTCATTAAAAATTTCTTAATTTTATTTATAAACATTTTGAATTGTAACACAATGTAAGTATGTACTGAGTAAATTGTAAGTTACAATATAAGATTATTTTCATTAAAATAGTAAACCAAGTTATCAAGATAGAGTATAAAAGTCTTATTAAATCTTTTTTATAATTTGTTTATTTTAAATATTCAATATTTTAAAAATAATCAAATTGTATGGAAATACTTTTATTTCATATCACAATTAGTCATCTTACCATAAACAAAACATCTATGTAAGATATGCATTGAGTCAATCTCATAATATACGTATTATCTATTTCTCCAAAAATAAAGTATATAATCATGACACGTATAATTCTCTCAGAAAATATAGTCTTTAAGTCTTCGAATAATGTATTTTCCAAAATCAGTGTTATTAAGCATTAATTATCTATATAGTACTTTATAGTTGAGATTTATTTACTCATTGTCTTCCGTATATGTTTGTTAAATGGATGTTCAATGGAGGAAATTTAGTTATTTTCAACATTTAAATGTAGAGTAATTTTTCAAAATGACTCTTTCGGATTAACCTTTTTCTAATTTAGGTCTCCGTTATAATAATTATAATTTTATCCTAATTGTGCATTTAGGGGAATCTTAATGTTTAATGTCGTTCTATTAGCCACTCATGTTCACACTAGTAAATTTCGAATGAGGATTACCTCGCCTCCGATACCCCACTTTATATCTATGTACAATTTTGATAAAATTCGCGTATGAAAAATACGTGATTCGTTTTTTTTGCACATATTGTTATGTTGTATATATCCCATGCAAATATTTTTTTGTGTTTTTTTTAAAAAGTAGTAGTTGTGACTTCAATGAAGTCAAAAGTGAAATACCTATGATTATTTTAAAATGTTTTTGTAATTTTTCTTTGTGAAAACCCTTATAACTATATTTGTTTGGTATTTAAAAATAAATTCATATCAAGTGAAAAAAATTTTAGGATGTAAAATATATGTGATTATTTTTACGAGATAATTTTTTAAAATTTTATGTGAAAAATGTAACTATTATTTTAGAAGTTGATTTTCAAAATTTATACTATTATTTTAATTATTTTAGAAGTTGATTTTTTAAAATTTTTAATCAAAAAAAGAATTTTAGTTCTCAGTCAGTTGCATAAAATTTCATGTATGTTCTAATTTCTTCAACAATACTCCCTCTGTGTTTGGATTTGATCTTCTCAATTGACTTTTCTTGTCAATTTTGTATACTTTAACTTTAATATATAGAACAAACATTGTCTTTTGATGGAAATACATTACCAATAACTTCTTTTTGAAACTAAGGAATCTCTTAATGTTTGGTGGCTCCTATTTTGGAGATAAAAAATGCATTTTTATTTTGGTATTTTCTCCATTTTTATTCCTATTCTGGTTCAGAGTTATTTTTTCCAAAAAATTATAGCGACACTGTATATAAGACATATGCTCCGTATACAACTTAAATTGGATATACCCATGATGGACAATAAATCCACCAAATGATCCGATTTGGAGAACGGATCGTAAGAGATGAATTAAGAACAAGAACTCGAGAATTGTGTATCTTTTATTAGCCTGATTTAGCTTGGGTTCTCCCCTTTCGGGTCTCCTCTATTTATACATGAGCTCTAGACAATTAAGGTAATGCATAATCAATGGAGTCTATCCCGTCAATGGCGCGATCCTCTTTTTCTGGCTTCATCTCCGTCATTTAGTTCCGTCTCCTTCTCTGAATTGACTCTGCCAACCGTTCTTGGACTGGAATTGGCCGGGCTTAACCCCACGGGAACTCCATGGGTCGGCCCAAACCTGAGCATTCTCCAAGCGCTTGACCCGTGTTGTTTAAATGATTCATTTGGGCCGCCCGTCGGATATCGGCCCATCACAAGCCCCCCAACTCCTCATTCCTTGATTGGGCTAAATTGAGGGATGTGGAGTTTACGAAGTCCACGTGGACGCTCCAACGTGGATCCGGGCCGCTCCTTGGGTTCCGCGTGACGTTTGGACACGATCTCCACGAATAGGTAATCATGACCTGCTGCTTCGCCTTCCCCTTGTTAGTTAAAAACCGCCGCTGGATGCCATCTCTTTCTTTCGCCATCTACATCATCATTCATCTGTTATTCTGCTGCTATCGGACCCGTTTTCCAGGTCAGTTCCTTTTCTCGCCACCATGATTGTTTCAGACTCCGACTCAGCTTCCGCATCGTCCAACTCTCGTCATGCCGATCAATCGGCCTCTGGCCGTGACCCAAGCTAGACTCAATCGTCCCATTCGTCCCCACTGGCCATGCCCGGCCAAAAGCTACGCCGATTAAGGAAGCAATTTCCTTCTTCGACCCCAGTACGGGGGGCTCGAGGGTTAAGCTGGACGAGAGCATCATGGCATTGTGCCATTACCACGTCACTGACCGGGGGTTCACTGATGCTAATGATATGGTTGGACCCTCCATTGAGGTTCTAAGGCCTACCAGCACCCAGACCGCCCTAGACGCTCCGTCGGGGTTCTTTACAGTCCATCTGGCGTCCCTGAAGAAGGGGTTGCGATTTCCCCTCCACCCGCTGTTGATTGAATTCCTCAACGGGGTGGACCTCCTCCCCTGTTAGTTGGTTCCCAATTCCCACCGGTACATTGCCGGTTATCTAATCAGATGCAAGGATATAGGGGTGAAACCTACCCTCGACCACTTCCTGTTCACTTTCAAGCTGACCAAGGGTCACAAGGATTGGGCATCCTATGCCAGTCTTTCCCAAAGGTCCGGCAAACTGTTCACCAGCGACAAGAAGGGATCGACCAAGGACTGGAAGCCCTTCTTCGTCTTTGTCTCGATGGGGCCCGAATCTCCTTTCACGGGTTCAGGGCTCCCATCTTTCCGTCGCCTCCCTTGTCCCCCATCTGACGCCACCCTCTTGTCCATGACCCACCAACTATGCGGCCGAGGGGCTGTCAATATTAAGGAAGTGGTGACCGAGGAGTCTCTTGCCAAGATGGGATTTGAGTTCGTCCAAGACGAACTTCGTCACCAACCTGAGCTGTTGAGGGATTTTCCCGGAGGCGGTCAATCCGACCAACCAAGGGGCATTTCCGGGGAAGGTCTTGATTGTGGTCCTTTTGGTAATTTACCCCCTTTTTTGCCAAAATGTTCTAGTTCACCCCATTCACTAGCTAACCATTTTCCGCTTTTAGTTGAGTTGCAGGATCTAGGAGAAGAGATGGACAGTGATCTCATGCTCAGTCGCTTCACGGCGGGGAGGAAGAGGAAGAGGGAGGCGAAGGACCAAGGCAAGCGCACTTCCTCCCACCGAAGGGATAGTTCTTCTCAAGAGCTGGTTGTAATCGTGGTGGAGGATCAAGATGATGCGGCCCCAGAAACGGGCACAATGGCGGCCCATTCCTCTCTGCCCCCTCTGGTGCCAGGTGGCGACCTTGCTGGGTCGTCCCAAGGTATTGTCCCGGAGCGACCTCCTTCGTCGCCCGCAGTGACCTACGAGGTGGCAACCGAGGGTCGCTCGACGAGGCTCAGCATTCCTCCCCCACCCCAAAGTTTAGGAGACGTGCAGCTGGAGACCTTGATCACCCTGCCTGCGGAAGAACAGGCCCGCATCTCGGCCGGTTCCGAGGACGACCTCGACAACATGGTCCTCTTGAGACTTAGCCAGGTACTCGCCTTGATTTCCTTTCCACCATTCCTCCCTCTTACGCTCCTAACTTTTATGCCTTGGTGTAGGCTACGTTGGGGATGATTGAGGTCGTTGGCAGGAAGCGGGGCCGCCAAGCGGCTTCGGATGAGGCGATGAAGGCAGCGGAAGCCAAGCAGAAGGAATTACAAGAGGAGGTCGCTCGCCTCATGAAGGAGTTAGAGGAGAAGGAGAGCCGATGCGCTACGCTTGAGGCAGAGAAAGCCTCCCAAATGGACCGCTGCGTCGCTCTTGAGGCAGATAAAACTTCCTTGTCTTTGGAGGTGGAATCTGTTTCCGCTCGCGTGGTCGAGTTGGAGGGGGAGAAGTCTGACCTAATCAAGCAGTTGGAGATGGAGAAGAGCGACCGAGCCCGCCACACAGAGGGAGCGGTAGAATCCTTTAAGTCCTCTCCTGACTTTACAATGGTCGCCCTGGAGCGGATGGATAAGCTGACAGCCGAATGACTCAAAACTGAACCTGGGGCCCAATTGATGGTCAAAGAGGGGACCAAGTCCTTCAATTGTGGACTCTTCCGCGCTCAACAGGTCTTCCGTGACAGACTGGCTCAACTCCTCAAGGGATTCTCTCTCCCCGATCTTGGCTTTCCTCCTCCCTGTCGCTCCTTGGCCGAGTTCGACCCCAGCCCTTACTTGGACGGAGGAAGCTCGAGTGCCTCTGAAGAAGGAGAAGGAGAAGAGGGAGACGGTCAGGGCAACCAGAATCCGGGGTCTAGCTCAGCCACGTCCAAGGCGGGTGGAAACCCTAGCTCGAGCGTCTAATCTCCCCTGTTACTTTCTCTCAATTTTGTAAACACTTGTGATTTTTCTTTCGGAATGGCTTGTCATTTTGATACAATGCTCCCATGTTATTTGACTTGCTGGATTCACCATGTGCCTCTCTTTTTCAACGCCTTACTTCAGCACTCTCTTCTTTAGTTTAGCTGATTTATATGTATGTTTTAGTTTGGGCCCAACTTCTAATCCCGGCCCGATTATCTGACCAGGCCCAATCTCAGGATTGGCCAGCGTGCCGCCTAACTGACCCAATGCCCCTTTCAGTCTCTAATTGGACCTTCGCGCGGCTCGACGCTTCTTTATCGGTTCAGTTGCCTTGGGACTTGACCGTCTCTTCGGTTTCTTCGTCTGGGCTTATTTATAAGCCCCCTAGCCTTCATTTTGTTCCATCACCAAATATTTTTCTTTTCTCCATCTTTGTCATGTCTAAAGGACTCCCCACTTCTCTGAATCTCTCTGGCGGGCCGGCTCCTTCTTCGCCGGAACCTGCCTCTTCCCCCAAATCAGTTAACTCCAACGACTGGGGGGGCTAGACCCCTATGAATTCTGCCGCCAGTTTCCCCGTCGACAATGGCCGTCGGTGAAACCGCCACCGGTTCCACCAAACCCTTATGATGATTTTAGCGAGGCGTACAAGGCCCTCTCTACCAACCGTCTGCCTGACGGGCGGATTTACTGGGATGCCCCATGCCCCCTCCATTCGTTGCAATGCATGGCTTGGGGAAGCTTTCACGATGAGCACTTACCCCTCTAAGAGCATGAGTGCGCATATTACGCAAGTCTGGAGCGATGGACTAACGAAAGTCGCACCAACTCGCCGATGCGACCTAAAGGTGAGGTGGTGGTGGGGGAAGAACTGGGTTCTTCCATTCCACACCCTGCTGGTCGCTCGCCCCCCCGGAAGGCTCCTAGGCGATCCGGAGTAGTTCGTGCGGCCTCAGGGCCAGCATCCTCATCTAGGTGATGCCGATTGGGGCTCACAGAAAGGTGAGCTGTCCCCCGTCCTTCTCTTGTAGGAGAAGGACGGTGGGTTTTTGCCGAGGTTGGGGGCGACCACTCCTGTTCCATGATGGAGAAGAAAGGTGGTCGCCCTGGACGTCCGGTGATCGGAGTTCTGTCGGCCTATACAGCTGCAGAACTACCTTTCAACCTTGCCGGTTTCCCCTGGATCCTCCATCCTTTCTGGGCCTCAGCTGCTCACAAAGTTCTAGATTTTCCTTGTAAGAAATGTATGGGAAAGCATCCCTTCTTTTGAAAGTATGTAGAGATTGTTCTCAACTGTATTGTAGTAGATGCAAGAGATTATCCTTGAAATGTAATGAACATTTTCATGAATGTATTTTGATGTTACCTGTTTACTTACAAGTTTCATCTTCTTCTCTTTCGCATCTCATTTCAAGCGTTCAGGTTTCCTCAGACCTTAATCAGAGAATACCCCGCCTCTTTTGACTTAGCCATTTCCGGGTTATTTTAACCCCTATGGCGTCGCCATACCTCCAAGATCCCCTGGTCGCTCATGCGATCAGCAGATCTTATGTTCCAGACTCAGCCGTTTTTTCAAGCTTTTTTGCCACGGTGTCGCCCTCTGGTTAGTCGCGTCACTTGACAGCCCTCGATCTTGGTCGCTTGACAGGGTTCGACACTTCATCCCCTGTTGGGTATCTTAGCACGAATCACCATACAGCTTAGGCTTAGCGATCTCTTTTGGTCGCTCCTTTTTTTTAGAATTGAAGACAAAATATGCCAGAATGCTGGTTTTATTAAACTTTAAGAGAGAAATATGGCTGGAATACAATCTATTGGTAAAATTTAATAAGGTTGGCGGCATTCCATACTCGCGGAACGTCGCCCTCGGCTGGTGTCTGCAATCTAAATGTCCCATCGGCCAACACCTCCTTTATGATATATGGCCCTTCGAAGCTCTTAGCAAACTTTCCTCCATCGGTCGGCTGACTAACCTCCCTTTTCCTAAGGACCCAGTCGCCTACACTGAACTGCCTTGGTCGCACTCGCTGGTCATGATATGACTTGACCTGCCGGCGATAGTTCTCTGCCCGTATGTACGCCCTTTCTCTTCGCTCATCAATGAGATGCAGTTCTACCCTCAAGTTTTCTTCATTCTCCTGGGCGTAAAACGTCTCCACTCTATAACTCAGCAACGAGGTCTCCGCTGGAGCCCTTGCTTCAAACCCATATGTGAGCGAGAAAGGAGTTTCACCTGTGGCCTTTCTCGAGGTGGTTCTATAGGTCCACAAGATATAGGGCAATTCCTCCACCCAGGCACTTTTGCATTCCATTATCTTCTTTTTGAGACCGTCCACGATGGTACGATTAGTGTTCTCGACCTGCCCATTGGTTTTGGGGTACCCGACCACTGCATAGCTGTGTTTTATGCCCCAGCTCTGTAGAAACTCATTGAACCCTCTGGCCTCGAACTGGGTTCCATTGTCGGTGATGATCTGCTGGGGCACCCCAAATCGGCACAAGATTTGCTTGGACACAAACTTCCTCATCTGCTCTTCAGTGATGGTTGGCACAGGGGCAGCCTCGACCCACTTGGTAAAGTAGTCAATCGCGACCACCAGGTACGTATTGTTTCCTATTCCTCTGGGCAAAATACCGACCAGATCAATACCCCACCGAGCAAAGGGAATCGCCGTGCTGATCGGGGTACAATTCGTCGCTGGTCGCCCTGGCACCTTTTGAAACTCCTGGCAGACTTTGCACTTACGCACGTATTCTGCGCTCTAACGATTGTTGGCCAGAAATACCCTTGCAGAGTCACCTTCCTGGACATTGTGAAGGCCCCCTGGTGTGCCGAGCATATCCCTTCATGGATTTCCTCCATTAACTTTTGCGCCTCGCCCCTCCTCAGGCATCTCAATAATGTGCCATTGTACAATCGTTTATACAGCCGACCGCACTCCAGCGTATAGCTAGGTGCACGTCGTTTTACCACTTTTGCTGCGATTGGGTCGGTAGGTAGCGACCCATCGAGGATGTACATGGTGATTTCATCAATCCAATCCGGCTCTTTGAGCGTAACGACCAGCACTTGTCCGGGACTGATGCTTGGCTCGAGCAACTCTTCTTCCTTGGTTACTGCCTTGATATGATCTGGGGAATCCGGACCGAGCTTTGACAGGATGTCCGCCTCAGCATTCTCTTCTCGAGGGACCTGTTCTATCCGGTACGCCCCAAATGCTTTAAACAACTCCAGAGCAGTGTCCCTGTACTTCTTCATTTGCTCATCCTTGGCCTCAAATTCTCCAGTGACATGGCCCACTATCAATTTGGAGTCGCATCGGACCTGGATCCGTTCAGCCTTTAATGATGCTGCCAGCCTCAAACCGCAAAGCAGTGCCTCATATTCCGCCTCATCATTTGAGACCTTGAACCGGAACCTCACGGAGTAATATGCTTTGAACCCCTCCGGCGATATCGCCACGACACCTCCTCCCGAAGCATTAGTCGCGGACGAGCCATCAGGGTACACGATCCACCAGTTTCCTTCGGGTTCCTCTCCATTGGATTCCACTTCCCTCGCAGTGCATTCCACCACGAAATCCGCCAAGGCCTGCCCCTTTATCGCCGGTCGCGGCTTAAACTCTATCTGGAAAGATCCCAGGAACACTCTCCACTTGCTGACTCGCGATGGGGCATTTGGGCTTCGAAGGAGTGTCCCAATTGGAATCTGAGATAACACATGGACCGGGTGGGCTTGAAAATATGGGGTGAGCTTTTTCACCGTACATACCACCGCGAAGATGGTTTTTTCCATGTTTGTATATCTCAATTCTGCCCCTCGCAGCACCCGGGCCACATAGTAACAGGTCGCTGTGCGCCCTCCTCCTCCCTCACAAGCACCGAGCTCACAGCTCGAGGAGAGATTCCTAAGTATAGGAATAGGGTCTCTCCGGGCTCTGGCTTCGAAAGCACCAGTGGAGAGAGGAGGTATGCTTTCAACCCTTCAAAGGACCGTTGACACTCTTCGGTCCAGACAAACCCTTTGCTTTTTTTGATGGTCTGGAAGAAAGGTGCCGCTAGATCAGCTATCTTTGACAAGAAGCGACTGAGAGCAGCGATCCTGCCAGTGAGCTGCTGGACCTCCTTCACATTCCGCGGAGGCTCCATCTCCAAGATTGCCCTTACCTTCTCCGGATTAGGCTCAATCCCTCTCCGGCTGACCATATGTCCTAGGAATTTGCCCCCCTGAACCCCAAATGTACACTTCTTGGGGTTAAGGCGAAGCTGGAACTTCTTCATGATCTTGAACACTTTCTCCAGGTCACCGGCATGAGACTCTATCCGCTTGGACTTGACGATCATGTCGTCCACATATGCTTCCATGCATTCGCCTAGCACTGGCGCGAATAGTTTGTTGACCATCCGTGCATAGGTCGCCCCAGCATTCTTCAAACCAAAGGGCATCACCTTGTAACAATACACCCCATTGGGGGTGATGAAAGCGGTCTTCTCTTCATCCGCCGCAGCCATCTTGATTTGATGATACCCACTGAGTGCGTCCATGAAGCTCATCAGTTCACACCCTGCCGTCTCGTCCACCAACTGATCAATGTTGGGCAGAGGGAAAGGGTCCATCGGGCAGGATTTGTTTAGGTCAGTGTAGTCGACGCACATCCGTCAGGTGTTTCCTTTGGGTGCGAGGACTACATTCGCCAGCTAATCCGGGTAGCGGACTTCTCGGATGTGTCCAATGGACTGCAGGGTCGTCACCTGTTTGGTGACAAATTCTCTCCTTTCCGAGGACAGGAAACGCTTCTTCTGTTTGACTAGTCTATATGCCGGATCCACTGCCAACCAGTGGCACCAAGCAAATAACACTTTGAACGCTTGAAGGACCTCCAACAATTGCTCCTTTAGTCTAAGCGGTAAGGTTTTACCTACCTTCACCTTCCGCTCTGGCTTGATCGGATCCAAAGAAACTTCTTCAACTTCTTCCGCTGGCTCAGCTCGAGGTCGCCCCTCTTCCTTCTGGATTGCGGCACATCGTGCTCACATTCTCGTCGACCCGTGCTTGGCTTTTGGTCGCCCTAACGTAACACGACCGTGACAGGCTCTGGTTCCCCTTTGCCACTCCCACCCCTGTGGGAGTATTGAACTTCAGGCACAAGTGGACGGGGGAGATTACGCACTCCAGGTCCTCCAACCCTGGTCGCCCTAGAATCAGATGGTGTGCACAATCGAGCTACACTACCATAAATTCCATGTCGATCCAGAGTCGGTGGGTGCCTCTCCTACCCCGACCTTCATCGTGATAGTTCCTTCAGCTTCGATAGTATCCCCTGTGAACCCTGACAATGGCGTATGGATCGGTTTCAGGTCGCTTCGAGACAACCCTAACTCCTTAAAGGTGTTGCTGTACATAACATTGACCGAGCCGCCCGTATCGACCAAAGTTCGGTGGACAACCACATTATTGATTTCTACCTTTATTACCAGAGCGTCCCTGTGGGGGCTGAGGACTGGTGGATAATCCTCGTCTGTGAAGATCAGAGGTTCCTTCTTCTTCCGCTTAGGTAGCGGCGGTCTTTGTACCTCGGCCAGATACACCATGTTCTTCCACTTCTTCCGTGAGGATACCAAATCTCCTCCAGTGTTTCCCCCCATGATAAATCGACACCCTAGGTGTCGGCGTCACTGTCTTTCCTCCTCATCCAGGTCATCACAGTCTCTTCCGAGATGCCGTCGTCCATCCTCCTGCCCCTCTCCCGCTATGATCGCTGCTGTGGGGGCTGGCGGCCTCCTCCAGGTCCAGTTATTTGAGGATGGTCGCTCCGACCGAGGAGGCGGCCCCCTGGCGATTAGTTGATCCATCTCCTTCTTTAGTGTAACGCACTCCGACGTGTTGTGGGTGCTGTTACGGTGGTACTCGCAGTATTTGGGTGCATCTTGCGCACCATAGCTTTCCCGACCGTGAGGAGGGGCAGGCAAAGACTGTACCGCATGAACCAGATGTCTGTTTGCATGATACCCAGTGGGGTTCGGCCCCTTACCGTAGTCCTTCCTCTTCTTTCCTTCTGCCGCCGGTAGCCCGCTTTTCTTCTCCTTCCAGACTGGCGGCTCATCGTCTTCTTCTTCTAAGGCCAAGTATTTCGCCCTGGCCAACATCTTCTGATAGGTCGGGAGACAGTTCCGTCGCAGCTCCTTGCGCACATCCCCTTGGGGGAGTGCAGCCTGGAGCATGGCGATCAGGGCTTGGTCGTCCGCCCCTTGGACGTCCCTGGCCTCCTTTTCCCACCTATTAATGAATTCCCGGAGCTGCTCTCCCTTCCGAATCTTCACATTGAGCAAGTGTGAGAAGGGGAGCCTTTGTCTTCGGCTGGATGCAAAATGCTCCAAGAACTTGCGGACCAGGTCGCTCCACTTATCTATCGATCCCTTGGGTAACTTGTGAAACCACTCACAAGCCTGTCCTTCCAGCGTCGCCAGGAAGCACCGGCATTTGATCTCTTCTGGATATGCATACATGACCACGTTCGCACCAAAGCGAGCAAGGTGGTCCTGAGGATCGGTTGTCCCATTGTACGCTTTGACCTTTGGGGTTTTAAAGTTGTCAGGGAGAGGGCAAGACATTATCCTCCTGGAGAAGGGTGTTACCTCACTAAAGACTGCCTGGCGATAGGGGTTCTGGGCGTCCAGCCGCTTCTCCAATCGCTCATACATCCTCCACAACTCAACTGCTTCCTCGTTCTCGACCGCCTTTCGTCGCTCCTCCGAGCCGATCTTGGAGGTCGCAGTGGATTCTCCTCTCCTTTCCTTGAGCGTCTCCCTCAGGTCGCCCTTGCGGGCCGCCCGCGTGTCTTGCAGCCGGTCGAACGCGGAGGTTCGGGGCTTCTTGGCCTTGGGGTCTCCCAAGCGATCAAAGGTGGACGCCCGCTCAAAAGAGGACGACTCGTCTTCCTCGTCCAACCTGGACAGCGCATCTTCCATCCTGGCTTTCCCATTAGGCTTGGTCGCCTTCTTCTTCTGAGATCGCCTCACCTTTTTCTTCTTTCCCTGCGAACCTGCAGGTCCAGCCTTTTCGCCTACGGGCACCCCCGTCGCGTCTTCTATCACAACCTCGCGGTTGGGCGTCAGTGTCGCCAACACCTCCTTGAACTGCTCAGCCGTGATCCCAACCCTCTGAATGAGGGCCTCCGCCTCTGTCGTACTGATAGGAGGGTGCTGGCCTCCGGTGGCGCTATTTTCGCCCTGGTGGGGAGCTCCGGTTCCAGCATTGGCATTGCTGCGTGTCTGCACCATCGTCTTCTTGGAAGGTTTTATCTGAGTATGATTCTCGAGCTCTCAACAAGAGCACCAATCTGATGGACAATAAATCCACCAAATGATCCGATTTGGAGAACGGATCGTAAGAGATGAATTAAGAACAAGAACTCGAGAATTGTGTATCTTTTATTAGCCTGATTTAGCTTGGGTTCTTCCCTTTCGGGTCTCCTCTATTTATACATGAGCTCTAGACAATTAAGGTAATGCATAATCAATGGAGTCTATCCCGTCAATGGCGCGATCCTCTTTTTCCGGCTTCATCTCCGTCATTTAGTTCCGTCTCCTTCTCTGAATTGACTCTGCCAACCGTTCTTGGACTGGAATTGGCCGGGCTTAACCCCACGGGAACTCCATGGGCCTGCCCAAACCTGAGCATTCTCCAAGCGCTTGACCCGTGTTGTTTAAATGATTCATTTGAGCCGCCCGTCGGATATCGGCCCATCAACCCATATTTTGGTTAAAATTACCACGTCATTCAATTGTTAATAGGTGGTCGGTGATTTGTTAAAATGTTACCATGTAGATTCGCCAATTGTCGCAATTTTAGGAGATTAACTCTTAAATTTAATATATAAAGATTTGATTATATGTTATTATTATAATTTAATTTTATAATTTTCTTTCATCAATGTTTTCTTTAATTATATAGTTTATAATTAAGCCGTGCAATGCACGAGTACGAGTCTAGTTTTTAAAAGAAAAAAGAGAGGGTCATCTTTTGATCAAACTTAACAATTGAATCACATCAAAGAACTTGTGGTCTATGGACATTATGATGATTCAAATATGAGAGATTAGAGATTCAATCTCGAAGAGAAAAGAGAAGTAATTACTCTATTTGGTTAATGGATTGAAATATATGAAAACTTTTCCAAACTCCTAGCACAATTCTTATGCGGAATACTCCTACCGCCAATTTTCTTTTTTTCCCTTCCATATTTCCATTTGACAAATCCCCGGTCTCCTTTCTGCAAAGCTCCTCTACCCAAGGAAGCCGGATTCAGACTTTCAGGCGTCCAGAACTCAAGATTCCCCTGGTCACAACCCTTTAGACTAGATTCTCCCAGAGGATCCATCACCGGTCCGCCATTTCTCGAAATCCGTTTACATTATTTCCATAATTTCCCTTCTCTTCATATCCGATTTCGATTTGTTCTCCATGAATACATGAATCTGTGTTGTTCCTTGATCCGATGGATAACCGATTGCGTTCTCGTCAAGACTCAGTTTTCTTGCTCGAAGTGTGATAAAGCTAGCTTTATGCGGCAGCAATGATCCGTGTTTGTCTAAAAGGAGGCGTAGAGGAATGAAAGAACAAACTTGGAAATGGGTTTTAGGTTTGGTGTATATATTATTAGTTGCGTCCATATGGATTGTTGCTAGTTTTGTGGTACAGACAGTTGTAGATGCTGGTGTTTCCCCATTTTTAGTAACTTACATATGCAACTCATTGTTTGTGGTATATATTCCCCTTGTTGAAATCGGGCGGTATTTAGAGGACAATTATGGGAGTATTTTGTTTTGGAAAGCCAGAACGGATTGTGGTTTGCAAGAATTGAGAGAATCTGAGGAGGTCATTCTTCTAGAGGATGGTTGCGAAGCTGATGCTTCTAGTCGAAGCATTGTTGCAGAGGGGAAGGAAGCGAATGAAACCGTAGTTTTGAGAGAAGATCTGATTCATGAGCGCTCAGATACTGGTGTGGATGCAAAGGGGCGTTGGACGAGGACCAGAGTTGCAAAAGTTAGCCTTTTGATTTGCCCATTCTGGTTCTTGGCACAGCTCATGTTTAACCTATCACTCAAGTACACGACAGTTACGGTAAGCATTCATGCTTTTGATATTCTTTCCTATTTAATCTGGAGAATTTTGTGTTGATAAATTGTGCTTCCACTTGTGTACAGTCCAATACCATTTTAAGTACTGCATCCAGCTTGTTTACCTTTCTGGTTTCGGTTGTGTTCTTGGGAGAAAATTTTACGTGGGTGAAGCTACTCAGCGTTCTGCTTTGTATGGGTGGGACAATCATTGTTAGCTTGGGTGACTCTAAATCTGCAGCATCCGTGGCTTCTTCAAATGCTATTGTTGGAGACATACTTGCTCTTCTTTCATCAGCCTTATACGCTGTATATATAACCCTTATTCGTAAAAAGCTGTCTGATGATGACGACGATGATAAGACAAGCGGCCGTGTCAGTATGGCACAGTTTCTTGGTTATTTAGGCCTATTCAACCTCTTGATTTTCTTACCTGTGTTCCTTATACTTAACATTACCAAACTTGAACTATTTACCATTATCACCTGGAAGCAGCTTGGTCTCATTGCTGGCAAAGGTACCTTTACAATCTCTCTATCTGCTTTTTGTATGCTTTTTAACTGGTGTTACATTTCATGAATATTACTAAGAATCTGTTTCACTCTGGAAACATTTTTGTTGTGGAATTTAGTTTCTTAGAGAATAAACTTTTTTATGTGTAATATATCTCCAAAGAAAGAAATATTTTTCTTAAGTTAAACCGAGGCTTAATTTGATACAAAATGTATGCTTTGCTCCATTAAGCTGCTTGTTTAGTCCGAGACATTTTTTGAGAAGCTACATGTTAGACTGTACAGTAGTTGGAAAACCAGGCTTGTGCCTCATATTTGCTTCCAAAAGCATTCACAATTCCAGTCTTGGACCTAGCTTGTACTATTTGGGGTCATAGTTTGTAAAGCAGAAAGGCGAGGCGAGGCGCCAATGTACCTTCATATCGCCTACGCGACTAGCCGCACGCCTAGGCAACGACTAGGCAACATACATACCTACGTATATACATATACATATACATATACATATAC